TATCATCGTCTAGCGAGGCACCACTGTAAACCATACTCCTGCTCTCCCCGACACCCCCCACCAGTCAGATACCTCGGCTGTGAATCATCAGGTGGTCTTAGGGCCTCTCCTTGACCATTGGGTGTACCCAACTCCCAGTGTTCTTGGCGTGCAGGGCATCAGGTGGCACACATGCACACCCTGTCGGCCCCTGCAGGACCCCTTTCTAAGAACCGCCTGCCCCACTGAGCCCCATCTCCTTCTGGGCCCTGGGGAGGTCTTCCCCTGTGAAGACCCCACAGCTTTCTTAGCTCCCCACCTTGGCCATCAGACGCATGACTCTGCATAGTTTCCTCCTGGAAGTGATGCCTATGGGGGGGGAGAGATGAGTGTTCAGAACAACTGGCTTAGTTGGGAGGGGGAGAGAAGGAAAAGGAGGAGGATCAGAGGGAGGGAATCTTCACCTCCCCACCGATAAAGCCCTCTTCAGTCTCCCCAATCCGGTGTGTCACGGAACAGCCAGGCGGCACGCCAGACTTAACTGAGAAGGGGGACAGAGAGGGAAATTCCAATTGGGTCATAACTGTTCCTTTGTAATCCGAGGCGCCCGATTAAAAGTCTTAGAAAAACAGAGGGTGGAAGGGAGACAGACAGCTCACATTTCACTTCGAACCGTTTTGGGGAAAGTTCTTACGCAAACCCGCGTCGTTGCCCCTTTCTTTAGAAGAGTCAATTAATCCTCAGCATAAGGAGAAAAAACCGCACGTTAATAAACTACATACCGCCTGGTGATGATTTTTCATGATGTGCGGTCCAGAGGGAGGCGGCGTCTTTCCCGCTGCAGATGACTTGTTGGCTGGAGGCCCTCGGAGCCCGTGTTGAATTCCCAGCTGGGGGTGGAGGTGGCACAGATCCTGCCCCCTTGCCATCTGTGCGGGCAGAGAAGCCGTCCCAGAGAATATCAGAGACCCTTCTTGCAAAGAAAGAAGGTCGCCAAGTGGCCATCACATGGGGCTTCGTTCACCTGGGCGTCATTGACCGAACCAACGATGTGTCTTTAAAACCAACCTTTTGCACTAAAAGCAAATGGGGAGGGGAGAGTTTCAGCGATCAATAAGTAGAAAGGAAATTGGACAGCTTAAATGTTACAACCAGGATAGTATAGAGAGAGCCTCCTTGGGAGTAGGGGGTCTCCTTGAGAGAAGCCTCTTCCCCCCAGGAAGACACAAGGGCCAAATCCTGCAGCTGAGTTCTTCGCCCTCATGCCGAGCACCTACAGCTGTGTCCCAGCCGAGGGCTCCAGCTGCGTAGATGTAAGGAAGGCAGTCCTGGAAGCCCATGGGGTTGACCGTCTGTGTTCATTCCTGGTCCTGAGCTCCCATCCGGGGTGCCTGGAACCCACCTTCAGATCCCTGGACTGCTAGACCCTGCTTTTGGACCTTCCTTGAGCCTGGAGTTTGACTGGCCCTGGTCTGTGGCTTCTGACCTCCCTGCTCTGGTGGCTCGGCTTGGTGAGACCTCCCATAGCTGCTCCTTCTGCCTTGACTTTGTCCCAGTCCGAGGCTTCCCTGGCCGGGAGCCTTGGCTGCTTTCCCCCCAGCATAGAATAGGACAAGGTGGGCTTTGTTGAAAGGGGGCTGGTTTTTGACCCTGCCAGGAAGGGCAGGGCAAGGGGCTACTGAACATGCACAGAATGCAATTTGCTGTTGCTTCCACGGTAGTAAACATTATTGAAATGTTGTGGAGCCTACAATCTCTGTCTAAATGTCTCTGTGCTAGTAGAGAAATAATATTTAGAATTGCATACGGTCTGCCAAAACTAAACTACTGCTGGGAGATTTTTTTTGGAAGGTAGAAGGACTATGACTTGTTCCAAGATCATAATAGACAAGACCGCATGGGTCAATGAGGTCAGAATAAACAGAATATGAAAAGGGGGGGGGGATGGGATACAGAACTTTGAGAAAGGACACCTGAATGAACTAAGATATGCATAAACGAAGGAGGAGACGGTTGGGTAAATGTTAAAGAGCAGCACCAGAAAAGAATAGCATAACAGCATTATGTATATTCAAGCATTTGGCAAGAATAACATCATATGTATTCGAGCTTTGGTCGTCTTCCCAGAATTTACGAAGTTGTCATCTAATGTTAATAGGCCCAACAAATGAAAACCAGATTTGTCTGGACAAGTGTCTAACAATTGTCTGGAGCCGAAATCCTGTAGAAGATGAAGGCAGCGGGCTAGTTGGAGAGAATTGTGATTGTGGTTTGAACGATATCTTTCTCTCCCTTTTCTCAAGCGAAGCAGACCTGCCAGAGGGCATTTTTGCAACACCGTGGTTGTCTTTGAATGGCTGCAAAACCTGCAGTCATTTGAAAGGTTGTGGGTCCAATTCAGAGGGGCAGTGGTCTAGAAATAAATGGGCAAAGCTGGTCACAATCAGCCCCCCCCCATACTTGGGTTGTAGGTGTGGAAAGAAAGGAGCCTGTGGCCACCCGGCGCTGAGACTTCCCCACTGCTGTGGGTCTCGCAATGGCCTTGTGGGGGAGAGATGTTCAGCAGGACTGCTCAGAGGTTGAGTCTCTGGCTGTCCATGCGTAGGTTGGGGAGTTCGATTCCCCCCCCCTCGGGCCTCCTTGACCGGGGCTCGCCTAGAGGATGCTGAGGGTCCCGGCTCTGCAGTGCAAAAATCATTACCGCTCCTGAATCCGCCAGCTGGCCTGTTTTTCACTGGGCCGGCATGCAGGGAAAGTTTGGTTTTGAGTCACCGCTGGAACATTTCCCTCTGACAAAGCATCCCTCGTTTTTTTTCACTTCTCTTGCTTTCTGCTTCTCGCTCTTGGGAGGGAGGGACCAAAGTTACAGGAATCTGAAAGTCCGGCCGGCCAGCCGGAAGGAAAGAAGCAGCTGCTCAACCCAGAGCTGATCCTGCCCCCCCCCCAACTCCACCCCAGCTGGAGAGATAACAAGGAGCCTTTGGCAACCTTTGGGGGCTGGCTGGAATTTCCCACAGGGCTGTGGAGCAGTCAGAGGCTCTCCAGACCCCCAAAGAGCAGGGGGTGGGTGGAGGTGACCGGTTGCTTCTAAAGAAGGGGGGTTGTGAGATGTGTGGGTGCTGTGTCCGGACGCGAAGCTGCCTCCCCCAACCCAGAAGCCTCCAGGCCCACTCTCTGCTGATGGAGAAAATGAGTAATGCCTCCTGGCAGCCGGTCTCCTCAGTAGCCATTCAGCCTCTGTGTAAACATAACACACAGACATCCCGCAGTAACGGAGGGGCCAGAATGGTAAACCTCTTCTTCTGTCAGACAAAGCTCTGGCTAGCATCCCATTGTTGGCCGTACCTTTCTTAGAAGTCGGAGTTAGTGTTCAGGAACTGCAGCTGGATGTGGGGCTCCCACTCTGGCCAGAATCGAACCCTGCCAGGCCCTTCCTTCTTGCAGTCCGAACTATATACCCTTGTTGATGCCTCCCTGGACCCTCTTTAGCCACCCTGTCCTACAGCTGGCGGACGCTTTACCTGGCGCTTCCTGAGTCCCTTAGATTTCTTTGTACACCCTGTGGTCAAGCTGGGGGGGGGAATCAACTGTGTTGTTTTTGCGTAACTTGAGTTCTCCTCCTGAATTGCAGATCTTTGCACATGCCTGCCCGGTGCTGTTGTTTGTTTCGGTATCACGGCCCTGCCAAAATGGCCTTGAACCCTGTTTCTGTCTTCTGTGGGGCCCCGACTTCTCCCCATTGGGGCAGGGGGTCGGGGGCTGCTTGCAAACTGGGTGAGTCTCCCTTCAGGCTTAGCCATCGGCTTTGTAGAGCAGAATACTGTGTGTGTGTGGTGTGTGTGTGTGGTGTGTGTGTGTGTGTGTGTGTGTGTGTAAGTTGTTGGGTGACACCTGGGGGTTGGAGGTTCCTTCTGGAAAGGAAGAGGCTGTGTTTTGCCAGCCCGACCGAGCTGTTTTTCAACCCTGCGGAAACATTTATGTTTGATCTGTTTTGATCCTGGATGACCCTTTGTAATTTCACAAACGGCTGGTGTTTCATTGTGGGTGCTGCTGTTGTCCAATGCCAACCGGGGGGGGGGAGGAGCATAGGGGTGGTGTGTCTTTGCTTGTATTTGGGCTTCACTGGATTTCTCCCCCCCCCCTTAAATTGATCAACCAGCTTTGGGTAGCTCAGTGAGTTTAGCACCTGGCTGCAGTGCGGAGCCAGAAGTTGACAGTTCGATTCCCCCATGGTGCCTCCCGGGGGGGGGGGAAGAGCCAGCCAGGGGGGCCTTGGGCAAGCTGCACAGTCCCAAAAGATGAAAATGTCAAACTCTCTATCTAGAAAACTCTGGAAAGGGTCAACACAAACCGGAATCAGTTGTTATATCTGGATAGTTTTCCTGGCCCCCGTTTCAACTGCTCTGCACAAATCCTGCCCCCCTCCTGGGTTGAAGCTCCCCCCCACCAAACTCATATCCTTTTGGGAATTCCCAGAGAAGAAGAGGACTCAACAGGAGGCAAAACTGAAACGAAACGTTTTCTTTATTATTATTGTTTTTAAAGTCAACAAGATAGCCGAGGCGGGCCTGACCTGCGGACCTGCCTGGATAAATAGTGAGCGCCGCTGAATATTGCACAAGAAAAGATAAATAGTTAAATAGAAATACAAAACGCTTAAGTTATAAAGCCCTGTGGTCTTTTTTTCCCCCCCTTCATGCCATGAGAATGGAGAAAAGACAGGGACTGAAATAAATAAATAAATAAATGTGGACAAGCAAGCACAGACCAGGAGGACCGGGCTCAGAAAAGGCGCCAGAAAATGATAGGATTGTCGCTGAGCACCTTTGGGAAAGGGCTCTCCAGACCTTAAGGAAACGGCTTCAGGACCATTTTTTAGCTATATAGGAAGCGGCCATCCCTGTCTCTCCAGCATCCAGGAGTCGGAATGACTTCTCCGATTTATGCCTGGAGAGATCCCATCCTCCAGCCCTGCCTGGGAAGCGGCCATCCTGACTCCTGCCCTGTCTCTCCAGCATCCAGGAGTCGGAATGACTTCTCCGACTCTTGCCTGGAGAGATCCCATCCTCCAGCCCTGCCTGGTTGCTTCAGATGGCCTCATGCTAGGTTGTGGTTGGTTTCTTCAGCCCCACGGGTCCCAGGAATTGGGGGCTGGTGGGCATGAGAGGGTGGCTGCAGCTGATCCGTGGTGGTCTGGCTGAGGTCTGGAGGCTCCCTCTGGGCTGCTGGTAGCGGAGAGACGGAAGAGGGTTGGCAGCTCATTCTGTGGAGAGGGACTTCACGAGGGTCTGGACCCACTCGGCTTTCGGATCAGCGCAGGCTTGCCTGCCTTTCTTGAATATAAACCTGTCGGAACCAAAGCAGAGAACATGAGTTGGCCTTCTATAATTGCAGGCCAATTGCCTCTTGAATAATCTCATTGCTCGTTTCTCAGATTCTGCTCCAAAGGGTGTGTTGGGGCTTATTGTCTACTGATTTCCTTCTCGTGTCTAATGGTGAACTGCCATTCTTTCCTTAACGAATTGATAAAGAGAACCAAAGCAGAGAATGTGAGTTGGCCTTCTATAATTGCAGGTCAATTGCCTCTTGAATAATCTCATTGCTCTTTTCTCAGATTCTTCTCCAAAGGGTGTGTTGGGGCTTATTGTTTACTGATTTCCTTCTCGTGTGTAATGGTGAACTGCCATTCTTTCCTTAACGAATTGATAAAGGTGAGGAAAGAGCTCGGTTTAAAGCTACCCTCCGACACGGTGGGAAGAGAAACGGAACGCAGAGCCATTGAAGGGAGGACCAATTCCTTGCTGGTTTCACACTGACATCTGAGGCAAATACTGTAAATACAGATTTCTGGGTAATTAGTAGTCCCCCCCCCCAGCTCTGGAGAGCCTCAAATTGGGTTCCTCCAGGTGGAGCCTGACTTCAGCTCCCATGAGCCCTAGCCAGCAATGGTTACGGATGATGGGAGTTATATCCCATCTGTTAAGAAGGCAGGTTCCTCCTTTGGGCCAAAACCAAGGGGGTGCAGATCTTCAGGTTTAGCACTATGGTAGGACCCCCTTATCCATGTGGTTGGTATCCACTGATTCACTTATACATGGTCTGAAAATATTAAAAATATTAAAAGAAAAAATCTAGAAAAAAAACTATTTTGCATATATTAGAACCAGCCACTAGAGGGAGCCAAAGACCATGCTATGTGTACCTGTTAGTGAAGAACACATTGCATGGTTTCTGGTTTACTCTAGTGGACAGTTCTGGTAATGCATATTAATTTTTTCTAGTCCCCCCCTTATCATGCAATATATATAGCTGTATATATAGTGTTCGCTATTATCTGTGGTTTTCAGTATTGGGGTGGTCTTGGAACTAATCCTCTATCCTTAGAGAAATAACATAGGAAACAGAGGGGCTGAACATGTCAGAAACCTGTGAGCCAAGGACAGGAGTTTAAGAGGGACTTAAACTCCTTAACGGACTCCGCAGATGGACTATGGAAGTCACCCTTCCTCTTATTGATGGTCACCCACCCACTCTCACCTGCTTCTCGCAGTACTGGAGCCCCACAGATGAGCAGAATCCCACCTTCTTCTGCTTTGGAAAACCACAGCATTTTCCCAGTCCCCAAACTTACACAACGGATGCCAGGGGACATTTGGAGCTGGTGTAGAAATGGCTCTTCACGAGATGCCTTGGAATCTTGGCCTTCGTGTGCCCGGGGCAGCAGGGCGAGGTGTCGAGACCATCTGCCAGAAGGAAAAGGGTGAGCATCAACTCTGGAGTCTTGGCCACAGGGACCCTCTGGGAGGCCCATAATGCCTGACACGTTGCTTGCGAGGAAAGCCTCTCGGGCCGCCGGAGCTTGCCGGTGGGAAGCAAGAGGCCAGCGAGCTATGGCGCTAAGGGGAGCAGAGGGAGAGGCAGGCTAGGCCCACAGCGCCCCATGCCTTGTGCAACTAACAACTCCTGTGGAAACCCTGACGGGAAGGGACAGCGCCTGCCTGCTGTGTGTGTGTATGTGAGAGAGAGGGTGGGGGAAGGTTCGCTTTGTCAAGCTCCGCCGTCGTGAACAAGATCCTTTTAAATCACTAGCTAGGTTACATCCTGTGACCAAATCTTGTGGCGGTGAGTTACACAAGCTAGGAAGAGAATTAGCTCTCAAGTCTAAACATGGTCCTAGATTGACACTTAAGCCTTATTCTAGAACATCCCTTTCTGTAGGACGTAGAAGACCAGGTCTGTCAAAACAACCTAGCAACAGGAAAGGCAAGCTCTGGTAGGACGCCAGCTCTTCTTGGGATGATGGCCGACTTGCCCTGAGGTGCCTTGCTCTCTGGGAGGCATCTTTAAAAAGAGGCGAATACTTTCCCGCACCTCTGTTTGCTAAACAACTTCTAAACTCAACGGGCATCGGAAAAAGAAGGCGGAGGGGTGAAAATCTTGACTTACATGGGGCAGCGAGAGCCGAAGTTGCCTCTCTGTTTGCTAAATGACTTCTAAACTCAACGGGCAGTGGAAAAAGAAGGCGGAGGGGTGACAATCTTGACTTACATGGGGCAGCGAGAGCCAGGGAGAAGGAAGCCACCAGCAGGCAGACGGCGAGGGCAACCACAGAGAGTCTCATCTTGCGTGGTGTCGTGGCGCAGAGGAAGGAGACTGGCAGGGTTGGCTCTCTCGGAGGCTTTGATGCAGCATCCTGTAGCCTGGGGCTCTCCTTTTATACCAAAACGCGGCTCTCGGCGCACGGAGAGACACATGACCGAGTGCCCTTCTGAGTCGTGGGGAATCACCAAATTCAGAAACGGGAGCTGATGTCATGGTGGGGCAACGGACTCCGCAGAAAAGGGAAGTTGGCGAGAGAGACCTCCGGAAATCCTCAGATGCAGCCGGCGGTTGTAACCTTCGCATGTGCCAGGCGTGGGCAGTTAGCTGCCGGGCGCCGGTGGCAGATCGTGAAAGCAAGGAAGAAACCCACCCATCACCCACCACCCAGATATGGGGGCAGAAGAGAAATTTGGGGATGGGGGGGCCATGGCTTCAGGGCAAATGGCTTGCTCGTTTGGGGCAGAAAGAGCCAGGAAGGGAAAAGCAGGGGCCGACGAGGCTCTCGGAACGAGGGCTTGGCCAACACTCTTCCAGGGGATTCTGGAACCGCCAAAGGCCCACCATTTTGCCCAGCTGGATCTCAAAGGCCAGGTTTCCGTCCGTTTGTAGAATTCCTCGGTGCCAAGCGTCGGACAGGATTGGGGGCCCTGCTTTCATGCCAGCCTGGTGGGGTTCCAGGGGTGTGCGTGGTTGGTCATGGCTACCAGGCGGTGCAGTGGTTAGAGCCCAGGGTCCAATGCCTGGGAGATCCGGGGTCAGGTCATCGTTGAACCTCTGGATGATCTTCAGCCAATCTTTTTATCTCAAGCTGGCCTACCTCGCAGGGGCGCGTTTCAGGCAGGAAGAAACACCTTGAACTCACTGGAGAACATTGGGAAATAATAGTAACTGAGGGATGCCTTTAGGGCCCGGTCTGGTCTATGGAAACAAGGCCTCTCAAGGCCCTGCGTTTGCGAGAGAAGGGTTGAGGGCCCTTCTGCCAATGTACAGAGGCCCCGTTTCGCCTTTCCTTTGGCCCTTAGGAGGAACAACGTCGGAAGACGAAACCAAAAGCACAGAGAAATCCTGGGGGCCAAATATTCAGAATAAGGCCGCTGACCGATGCAAATGATCTGTCTTGGTTAAATTTAAGTTAACCAGTCTGTTACCAAAACAACAACAACAACAACAACAAAACCTCTGTCAAACTGCCCTTTAAACCTCTGATGTGCTGATGCTTGGACTACAGAGCCCAGAATCCCCAACCCAGTGGAGCCACAGGCTGCAATTTCTGGGAGCTGAAGGCAACGCGAGACGTTTGCCCAGTGGAATCCTCCAAACCCTGATACGTGAGCTTTCTAGGTGCGGGGAGGCATGTGACTGTTATGTGCAGAGTCACGTCATGTGAGGTAGCTTTGGAAAATCTGCCTCATGTGGGTAAGGGTGCCTTCAATGTTGTTCCGCTTCGTTTCCTCTTACCACAACATGCTAAACCCCTGGTTGCCTCACAGGCTAAAGAGGGAAACCCTTTTCTCCCCGTCTCAGCCAGATGAGAAATAGCTCCCTGCTGAGGTTGTGGTTTCGCCTGCTTTTGAGTCTGAATCCAGTGGGGAATGATGGCGAAAGTGGCAGGCCATAAATCAACGTCAACTCACTCTCTGCAGCTGTCAATGAATTGGTTTACTTCAACCCACTCTGGAGAACGTTGGACTTGTCAGTGTGAAAATGAGTATCCTCTCCCTATTGCAGCTGACGTGTTTCGAAGGACACGGGCCATGTATGTGTGTATGTGTGCAAGGACAAGGGTACGCATCTGCATGAGTGCTCATCAAATATGCAGATAAGATGACGCTGCCATGACCAGCTAATGTTCTGCAAGACAGAATCAGGATTCAGGGCGATCTAAACAGTGGACAACTGGACGATTCAAACCAAGTTTTTTTCCCAAAGGAAAAGTGTAAAGCTCTGCATTTCAGGCAGGAAAAAACCAGGCAGCAGCTAGCTTGGCAGAAGGAGCCAAGCTGATTACTAGCTTAGCATGAGCCAAGCATGTGATGCAGCAGCAAAAAAGGCAAATACAATACTCAACTGCATCAATAAACACATAGCACCCAGGTCAAGCGATGTCATGCTCACGCTCCCTTCTGCTTTGGTCAGACCTCACCCTGAGCCCTGTGTCCAGTTCATATAATCACATAAATCATGGACTGCGAAGGGATCTTTAAGGCCATTGAGGTCAACCTCCTGCTCAGTTGAGGAATCCGTATCAAAGCCGATCTGACAGATGGCTGTCTAGTTTTCTCCAGAGTGCCTCCAGCGTTGGAGTGCTCACCACCTCCCAAGATTATGGGCTCCATTGTTGTACTGCTCTAACAGTTAGGGAGTTTTTCCTGATACTTGGCCGAAACCAACCTTCCTCTAACTTCCTACTCTGGACATCCCAGTTTAAGAAGTATGTTGATAAGCTGGAACAATTTCTAGTTGATGGGGAAGTCAGGGATGTGGCCAGGATAATGAAAGGTCTGGTAGCCAAACCTTACAAGAAACTGCTAGGCATTTTTCGCCTGGAGGAGAGAAGACCGAGAGGATGGTCATCTTTAAATATTTGAAAGGCGAGCTTGTTTTCTACGACCTCGGGGTGGAGTGGGTCAGAAAGAATGGACTGAAATAATGAAAAAAAGAAATCCTGCATTTAAAAAAAGGAGGGTGGGTTTCCTGGCACTCAACGCCTCTTTATGGCAGAGGGTGGTGGGTTTTTCCTGTGGAGGTTTCTTAGGCAGAGATGAGGTGGCCACCGCTGGGGGTGACTCGGTGGCATCCTTCACCAGAAAGTTGGAATGAATGACTTTTTTAGAGAGCCTGTGCAAATTCTATGATGACACCATCCTGTGACCCACAACCTCTTCCTGGCTGGCCGGCTTCTATGAAAAGCCATTCTCGGTGCCAACGTGGGCTGAAAAGAGCTTTCTAGGAGCCTCATTTTCAGTCCTTTCTGGGTAAAGTCTGCAAAATGCAGAGCTGCGGAGGACAGGATCCTGTTTTCCTTGAATCAGAGGTAGACCTCTGAGGGCACTAGGAAAAAAACAAACGCACAACTGGCCATCTGCAAGAACGGTGGCAGTGTCTTGCAAGGGAATTGGGGGTGATGCCAGGTTGCCGAGGATCGCCAACCCCTGAAGGCATGATCTTCAAAATGCCATCTCATGCTTTTCTTAAGGATGACGCAACACCGTTGCAGCAGATGGAGGTCACATTACCTGGTGGGGCTCTTTGGCAGCTGTGAATCATAGGTTCTCCGGACGGCTGCCTCCCATTTTCCATCAGATGCAAAGGGGTGTTTGTGTGTCTGGATAAATCTGCCTTATTTATTTGCTCAGTGTTGGTGCTGCTGGATGGTTTTGTTTTTGATGAGATTACTCTTCAGAACATTTTATTGCATTTTTGGGATGGCTTCTTCTTGCTGTTAAGTGACACACACACAACCCCAAGCCCCAGAAGGGTAGGAGCAGAATTTCTTGTTTTGGTCACTAAATCCGTCAGATTTTTCCCCAGGAAACTCCCCCCTCCCCGGGAAATGGACGCCATGACTTTGGCACCCGCTGGGGTCAGCTGCAGCCGAGAGGGACGTGTGTGCTGAGTTAGTCTTAAAGTGCCCCAAGACTTTTGGCTAATTTGACCAAACTTCCATTAAAGTTGTGTGTGTCCCCCCCCCTTCCACCTGGGTGGATTTCTCTTCCATCCTTCTTGCTCCACAAACTGGTTAAGGAGGTAAAAGTGGAGAGTCGGTGTCTTTGTGTTTCTAGTCCCCCTGGGGAGGCAGGGGCTTCGTGCCCTTTGCTTTAGGCCCTGGAGGGGGGGTGTCCAGCCTCCCTTTGCTCTTGGGAGCCTGGACTGGGACCAACCTCAACAAGGCAGAGCAAATGAAGGCTGGCGGCCGGCCGGACGAAGGAAGGAAGGTTGAAACAGGACCTTCCGATCAGCTGAGCTGGAGCTGCTCCGGGCGGCCTTTTGCTTTCCTTTCACCTTCCGCCTGGGGCTTTGGAAAAATGCTGATGCTTTCTTTCTGGCTCTCTGGGAAAACCCACAAAGGAGGAGGCCGTGGGGAACGGGCTCTGGACTCACTGACCTTGCAGGGGGAAAAAAGGCTGGGGAGGGGCTGGCTGATGCCCCCACTGACCCACACACACACAGAGGAGCAGCACAGGGAAGCAGCCAGCTGGAGAGCATCCAGAGACCAACCAAGGCAGGCTTGGATCAAGAGGGGATGTCTCGGGAGAAGGGAGGGCGTTTTGGGTGGAAGGCCCCCCCCTGGTTCTTTCCCTGGGCTGGCAATGTCTCTCCTGCTGGCGCTCAGCATCAGTCAGGTGGAGGTGAAAGGACCACATATGCCCCTAAATGAAGCATCTCTTTTCAGCCCTGGGGAGGAGGGGAGCCGGGTGGGGGGCTGATTTGAAGACAGCGACACATTTGCCTATATGTGGTGCGATGACACATTCCAGCAATTCTCCACAATTCTGCGCCCCCCCCGTGACACTGGTACAGGGGAGCAAGGAGTCCATAGCAAATGGGGGGGGGGGACAGGAAGGCAAGAGTCTTTTGCACCAGCTTTTCTGCCAGGAGCTCTGCACATGCTCTGAAGCCCAACCTGCCTGTCCTTCTGGAGAGGGCCCTGCCTGCTCCCCCCCCCCAACAAACTTTCCTCCTAGGCTCTGTTCCATCCGGACTTTCCCAGCATTCTCCCAAGATGCTGGGAAGGGGGTGCGGCATGACCGAGTCTTTTAGATTTGGCTTCTGGAGGTCGGCCATCTGTGATATCCGTGGCATGATGGGGGCAGCACCAGGAAAGGGCTAGAAATCCCCCAGCACCTTTTGTCACCAGACGGAACGAAGGAAAAAAGCAGAAGAAAGGAAGTGGCCGCGTCTACTCTGGAGGACGGAAGGAGCTTGCGGTGGGTGAGGAGAGGAGAGACTGTGGCCTCTCGTGTCCTCTATGGCGCCCATGCTTGGATCATTCTGAGCTCAGAGACTGTAGCCTCTCCCCTCTTGGCCTCTGTGGCGCCCATGCTTGGATCATTCTGAGCTCACCCGCTTCATTGGGGTCCTGTGAGGGCA